TAGAAAACATGTGCAGGTGTATATGTATATATATATATATATATATATATAACAATAAAATTGAATAATATGAATTGTTATGTCCAGGGGAGACTTTGTACAAAGTCGTTTGTTTGAGTACTTCTGTCCCATTCGTGTTTTTACCTTAAGGCAGTTATGTTTGCATACCTGTGTTTCGGTTTGAAGGGTGGGATATGGCAGTGAAGTTACAGGGTACAGAGGTATAACACCTGATTCCCCAGGAATGGTAACGCATGGGAGGTAACGCATGTACATGGCACCGTTAATGTATGCGACGGTAACGACTTTGCATCAGATGGGCCGTCAACTTGTTTGCCATTCTAAGTTGCATAAAAAAAAAATATTAACGATCTATCATATATTTTAACAAAATATAATTTTAGAATCCTTAACGATTATTCTATTTCTAGATATAAATACTCTATGTAACCATCAAGTTTCTTTCATAAGCATTTTCATTTTCACAACCACTTGTTATTAATGGTAATCAACGAATAATTTTCCGGCCAACGAAAAGGGAAAGATGCACACTCAAAATTGGAATTGTAAATTCTTGATTTGCAAATTGGAGTGACGAAATGAATCGATCCTTCCCGCCAATCCGGCGGCGTTTCCGGGATATCAAATATTCGGTTGAAAAACCTTTTGAAAAGTGAAATTAAAAGTGTGAACGCAGAGCCGGATGCGACCCTCGGATACGGACTGGCGGCTCCACGGATGAATAGTTCATAATTACACCGCTTCTATGTGCTTCTCTGCCTAATTCCTTCGTGCATTTTCACTGAATATTTATATACTCAATATGTTTTTTTGAATATTTTGAAGGAAATAGGGAACGTGATGTTATAACGACGGTAACATTACGCAGACGTAGTGAAGAGTAAAAGGTATCATTTGTATATTAATCATGTACTCAGTCTTTTATTTATATTATACAAACTTTTTAAACTTGTATAACTGTTTATTGGATAAAAAATATAATATATATTATTATGTCTTAATCCTCGAAAGGTTTATTTCTGTTTTGTATTATTATTAAATAAATTATATTGGACGTATATATACACAATATAGAGAATAGAAGAGACAAAATGCTGGGCCATCTTATACGACACGACGATTTTTTTAGATGTATAGTAGAAGGAAAAATAGAAGACAAAAGAGGAAGGGAAAAGCCGAGGACGGGGGCAGATAAAAGATACGCTATGTGTCATGTCGTATAAAGAGGTCAAGAATATGGTCTGGGATAAAGCTAGCTGGAAGAAGATGCATTAATTAATTGCACCGACAAGAGGAAACTGTTAAATGAGAAAAAAAAATATACATTGTCACTTACGTTCGTAATTTTTTTTTTTTTACTTTGATAATTTTAGTTACGTTTAACAATTAGTTGATACGATAAGGAAAGTGCATTACTTTTGTAAATTACTTATTATGATTACCATTATCAAGATTGTGTTTCAAAAATAAACGACTCCAGTTGTGGCAAGACTAGTAATTAGATTTAAAAACTAAACTACTAGATTAACTTTGTTAATATTACTACGAAACCAATTTGTAAGCATGTCCTTTTAAATAAAACAATATTTTTCCAAATCGGTTTACAATTAACGGAGTTATGAGTAAACAAACATAAAAAAAAATGAAATTAATTTGTACTCGTATAGTTTAGTTCAATTCGCATTTCTATCGCTAAATACCCTTTATTTATCAACCTGATTTGTTTTAATAGTGCAATATCGTACTGAAATAAATACAGTAAAATATATTATTATACGTTTGTTAATTAAAGAGATATAATTAATGATACAATAATAAAACGAACATAAATTCCTTCTGAACCAACAAATTATGTAATCACCAAATTACGTACTCAACTTATGAGCTTACTAAAAAGGCCACGTGACAGTAATAAATAGACCCTCAAAATCGTTCCGCTGTATCAAATCGAGACGAAATCGTAATAGCCTGACCATCGAGCGGGCGCGGAAGACAGCAGGACGGCTTTGTCTAGCCGGGTAGTACGGGGACGCACCCCAAATGCGACAAAATTACAGTGACTAAAGCGGTGGAGTGTCATCGTGGAGTCACAACAAGCGCGTTGATTGCGCGCCGGTCGCGGTGGCGTGCGGTGTACGTCGTGCGCTGTACTCTTCTCTAATACCACTTATTATCTGCTCAGCGGCTGTAATTGCGTTCGAGCATAGATTATATAGATGGACTGCCGCCATACAGATGCTTCGCTGGAAACAGGTCAACGTTTATATTCATGTACACATATGACAGTGGTACCGTAATGTTCACTCAGTACTTTGATTTATATCTGAGAAAACGAGCTTAAAATATGTTTACGTATTTATTTTTTTATTTGGAAAAATAGTTGTCAATTTATTTATTTATTTACACTTTATTGCACCAAGTGAAAAGAGAAATAACAAATACAGTAAATATTAATGAGAAGTGATACAAAAGGCGGCCTTATCGCTAAGCAATCTCTTCCAGACAACCTTTGGGTAGAGGATATTGAGAAAAAGACAAAGAGTAGGTGGCGCACTATTATATAAATATTATCATATACAAACATATATACATACATACATACATATATACACATACATATATAATATATACACATAGTTATCAATTGTTTAGAAAAATGAAATAGTTTTAATTTATTTCACGCGTAACACTATTAATTAAAGATTGTGACTCACAAAAAAAAAAAATATCTGATAAAACCAGTTGTGAAGGGTTCGTTGTATAGAACACTAAAATAGAAAATATTGAATAAAGATATATTATATTTTTTTTCTAGTAAAATATTAGTGATATTTTAAAAAATTAAGTTCTCTAATAACAAAATATTAATTAGACTAGATTAGATTAGATTTGCTTATATGCCAGAACATTGTTTTTACAGATATTGATCTATTGTGAAGTACAAATGTTCGCCTTGTAATTGACAGAAAAAGAAAATAACTAAATTCTATTTTTAAATGTAACATAATAATAATAATATAAAACCTCAACACCAGTTATTTTGGTCTAAAAATTAACCTAAATAAATCGATTTTAATAAAATCTCTATGAGATCGATATGTACGTAAGTATGCCCTTTTAGATTAAAAAAAGAATTTACCAAATCGATTTAAAACTGAAGGAGTTATAAGGTAAAATTGCAACGGAATCGAAACCTCCTCCGTTTCGAAATCTGTTGAAAAATAAGCATGCGTTGTTTTATTTTAAAAGGATATGTGCCATAATTCAGTTTTCATCCATTTTTAATTGCAGAAAGACAATGTCGGGTACTGTCTTTAATCTATTCACGTTTCTATGTACCGTGAAGCTTCAACTGTGAAGCAGTTGTGTTTGCATGGCTGTGTTTCAGTTTGAAGGGTGGGATATGGCGTGAATTTACTGGGCACAGAGAAATAACACCCGAGTCCTCAGGAATGGCAACGCATGGGGGGTATCATGGGCGAAACAGTATACTCTGTTATGTCCATGGTACTGCTCATGTCTATAGGCGATGGTTACCACTTTTTATCAGGTGGGCCGTCAGCTTGTTTGCCATTCTAAGTTGTATAAAAAAAACATCATCATTATATCAGCCTTTAACTGTCCACTGCTGAACATAAGCCTCTCCCTTGGGGAGTTTTTCCAGTAGTTACAGCTTGGCAGGCGGATTGGCAACCGCAGTCAGGCTTTAGAGATGTTTTAAGAGGGACATTGTTGGCCATCTCACGCTCTTCCTTAGTGGTCTCTTACGACACCTACGGGAAAGGAAGTAGTGGCTTATACTATGCTGGGACAATACAAGGCAAATAAGACGTTTTAATTGAATGTGTATTCCTTTGGTGTATCTATAAATTTATGTGGTTTTTCGAGTCGCAATAGAACTCCGCCTGCGCTCTCGGTATCCACTGGCGGGGCACCAGTGAGTGATGATAGGTGAGGATGAAGGCAGGTCAGTCGACCAGTCGTGAATAATTCAACAAGAATTAACCATGATGGTTTTTAGGGAGAACCGCGTAGGTTGCCGACCTGATAGAGTATATTGTTAGCAATGGGGCTCTTAGAACCCATTACTAACAATCCCTTAACCCCAAATATTAAATAAGTTTGAGAAGGTTTTCTGGGTTTACATTTACATTTATTATTTTTTAATATTTCTGTTTTTATTTGGGAACAATTACAATATTTAAGTATACAGTGATCCAACGAATCCAACGTGTCCCCAATGATTACGTAACAAATCGGGACGCATTACTCTATCCCCACGATTTCAAGAATATATATATATTCTTTATTGCACTTGTAAGTTACATATAAAATAATCTATTTATAAATGTTGTGAGCAAGGGTGAACTTATCTCTGACAGAGATCTCTTCCAGTCAACCCAGTACAGTGAGAAAGCATTTCGTTAGCGGGCAGCTGAAGTGCTACAACTATTAATACATAAACAAATATACAGTTAAATAAAATATTAAAATATATAATAAAATATTACATAAATACATACACTATAAATATATACAATACCTACCTACTTATATAGTATATGTTAAAATAAATTAATATACTACTTACATTAGAATTACCACAGAATTACTATATTTTTTATTTAATATGTACGAAATAATTCTTTACTTACATCTTTGGTAACATTTCGTACTATACTCAATAAATGCCGCATCTAAAGTCCACAGTGTCTCGCTACAGCGCGGAGCTAAGCTAAAAGTCAGTTTAAAATCATTTTCCAATGTGGACACCCAACAATTTAGTCGGGATGCGATTTTTTACTGTATTAATCGAACACCTTTACATAGTGAGAGCCGAGCGTAGTGTATCGTGGTGGTTGAAACGAAGCCTGCCACGCCCCGGCGGCGCAGATGCCACCAATAGCAAGCGGAGTACGGCGAGGGGGCTCGGCTGGCGCCGCCTCAGCACCCGTGGTGCCTTAGTGCGTACGTAACAATCGCGAAGTGAACCCGCGTACGGAGCCCGAGGTCGTGTCGAGCAGATACTGTGTTTTGACGGTCAACGGTCAGGTCGTGTTCGCGACACGATATGTTTTAATTGAATAACGGTGCTGAGGTGGACACGCTTTGATGTTGTTTTTGTTTTGTATACTGTGAGAAACTGCTGAGGTAGCCGGCAAAGTGTTGGGTGTAAAGCTAGAAATGAAGGTGAGTACTGTTGATCGTTTTAAATTGTTGCTGTTGTAGTTTTCATAGGCTACTGTAACCACTGACCATCAGGTGGGCCGTATTCTTGTTTGTCACCTCAGTGGTATAAAAAAATACCTATCTGTTAAAGTGGATACTAGTCTCTTTATGAGAGAAAGATGTTACTCAATAGGTTATTAAACAAACTGTAGGTTCTTCTACTGTCACTATTTACTCTAATTACTTGTAAATTAATTGTTAAGCGAAATTCGCTGACTTTTTAATTATACTTTATATACTTAATTAGTTTAAAACTAATTATTATTATTTAATCAATAAACCTTATTTAATCAATAAATTAGATTTGCACGCCTACAATATTAAGGCAATTAAATAGAATACCAAAAAGTTTTGTCACAAGGCCCTCATGATGTCAAATGTCTGTTTAAAGCAAATAAATATTTCATTCCATTTCGTTATAATTCAAAACTCATTTGAAAGCATTACTATAGAATAAGTGTTGCTATTCCGTAGATGAGTATTTTAATGACAACAGTAATTGAATGTTGACAATTTTTGAGCAATAATAATAAAGTATTATATGTGTAACTAATATATTATATATAAAAAAACAAAAAATTTAGTGTGAAACAATTAATGGATTTGTATAACAGCACTGATTGTATGTAGTGATTGTATAAACATACAAAGCGGACCGAATGAAATTAGAAAGAAAAAATAGAATTGTACTCACTGTAAATGAACTGTAATTGTAATTTATAATTTTTGTAATATTATTATGTAGTACCTATCCTACACAATGTATTCTGTGCTTTGGATAAATAAATAAAAAAAAATATATACTTATTACATACCCAGAGGCCTAAAACGAAGGTTTTTTACTTACATCACCTACCATCTTAAAAATTCTTTTCCCACGTAGGTACCTAATATTTTTAACTTCAATTTTATTAGGTACATATAAGTATATATTTTATGTTAACTGCTCATTGCTGAATATAAGACTTCACCATAAGGAGGGTTTTACAGTAATTGCGACGCTTGGCAGACGTGTTGGCGACTGCAGTTAGGTTTTTGTTATGTTTTAAGAAGTACGCTGCTGCCCATCCCTCGCCCTCCAATGGTATAAATTCCTACAAACATTATTATTAAAACTCTTAATATAATTTGTATAATTAAGTTCCCTTAGTCGCCACTTACAACCTTCACGGGAAAATAAGGAATGGCCTATTCTATACCAGGATCATGCGGCAGTTTAAGTTTGTTAGAAATAATTAATTATGATCCATTTAAAGAAATGGAAATTGAGGAGGATTTTATGAATTAAATTAAACATTTTCCAAAAGAAAAAGTGCAGCAAATGCATTGACTATGTCTGCAACAGCTTTCATAACATTTGGCTGAGACTTTAAAGTACAAGGTGGCTATAAACAAACAGTCGTTTTCACATTCATGATAATTGGTTCAGTTTGTTTCAGCGGTTAGTCTGAAGTCCATTCTTCAAATAGATAATAATAATAGATTTTTTTTTGTTAGGTGAAAATGGTATGGTAACTCCGCCTGCGCTAACGGGATACGCTGGCGGAGCACCAGTGAAGGGTGATAGATGAGAATGAAAACAGGCCGGTTAGCCCATCATGATGAATTCATCAGGAATTAACCATGATAGTTTCCAGGAGGGACCGCGAGGAGGTCGACCTGGTTGGGTATATTGCTAGCAGTGGGATTCTCAGTCTCCATTACTAACAATCCCTTTCCCCCCAATAATAATAGATTGTCATCTTATCATCATCATTCAAGCCATTATCCGTCCACTATTGGACATAGGCCTCCCCCATAGATTGTCATAAGGAACGGTTTTGAGCCACCTGCATTCGCTGGAGGTCGTCACTACATCTAGTGGGGGGGAAGGGGGGAGTTGTCCTACACTGCGTTTGATTTGTTAATAGATTTTAATAAATTTTACTTAGAAGTTAACTGGTTAAGCCGAGTTGACGCCGCCGGGGGAAGTACTGGCATGCCCCTGATTTTGCCTGTCATTGCATCATTAAATTTCAAACAAAAAAAAAACAAAGAATGGCAAAAGATAACTAACGATAATTATAAATTAATTTATTCTCACCACCGTATTAGGCTTTAACTGTCCACCGCTGAACATAAGCCTCCCTCTTGGGGAGTTTTTGCAATAGTTGCCACGCTTGGCAGGCGGATTGGAAACCGCGGTTAGGCTTTGGAAATGTTTTAAGAGGGACGCTACTGCCTATTCCTCGCCCTCCCTTAGTCACCTATTACAATATCCACGGGAAAGAAGTGGTGGCCTAATCTATCTTGGGATTTTACGGCCATTATAAATCTACTATACTGTACTGGAACTATCTATTAGGGAAAAGGGACTAGTGTTATACCTACTCTGTCTGATTTAACTTTATGTGGTCCGGATTGAAACCATCGGGGATTTTTTTTTGATGGGTTAAAATGGTAAGGTAACCCCGCCTGCGCTAACGGTATACGCTGTCGGAGCACCAGTGAAGGGTGATAGATGAGAATGAAAACAGGCCAGTTAGCCCATCATGATAAATTCATTAGGAATTAACCATGATAGTTTCCAGGGAGAACCGCGAGGAGGTCGACCTGGTTGGCTATATTGCTAGCAATGGGATTCTCAGTCTCCATTACTAACAATCCCTTTCCCACCTACCATCGGGGATTATAACGAAGCATGTGATGATAAAGTTAGTTAACTTTTGCGAATGTGTCGTGAAAGAGTGTTATTAAAGAGTGTTTTTTTTTTGTAATTGGTGAAAATGGAATGGTAACACCGCCCGCGCTATCGGTATACACCGAAGAGGTACTAGTGAAAGATAATAGGTGAGAATGATTGCAGGTCAGTTGGCCCACCATGATGAATTCGACAAGAATTAACTATGATGGTTTCCAGGGGGAACCGCGTGGAGGTCGACCTGAGAGGGCATATTGCTAGAAATGGGGATATTAGACCTCGTTACTAATAATCCCTTGTTATTAAGTGTTAGTGCCATACAATTATACCAATTGTCTGGTCCTCAAGCTATGATACCCAGTGTTATGATAAACCAGGCAATGAACATCTGGCAACACAGTCTAGAACATACAGAACGGAGCCAAATAGAAAAATTTTGTGCCCTAAATTGGCCTAACCGGGAATCGTACCTCATTAATGCAAAGCGACGTGCTTACCACTGCACCACGGAGGTCGTTAAATGTATTAGCCCAATTATAATCATGCTGGGTAGCTTGGTATGTGGCTTTATAAAGAGATTTTTCTTGCACTGCTGTATATATTGTGACACTTAGTCGCCTCTCGGGGGCAAAGGGATTGTTAGCTATACGAACTACCAGTCCCATTGCTAGCAAAATACCTTATCAGGTCGACCTCCAGGTGAAAACCATCGTGCTGAATTCCAAATTTATTCATCACGAAGGGCCAACTGGCTTGCCTTTTTATTCTCACCTATCGTCGCAGCTCGTTAACGCAAAAGGCGTTTCCATTTCATTATCATCCATAAAAAAAACTTGGTCACCTCTTGCGTTGCCCTTGAGACGAAGTCTACAGAGATCGTTATATATATATATATATATATATATATATATATATATATATATATATATATATATATACATAATTTCGAAAACTATATATGAAAATTTATCGTACTACAAATTTGAAGTTGTGTTTTTCAATGCTAAATTATAAATAAAATATAATAAAACAAAAATAAAATAAAATTGTCATAAAAATAAAAAAAAAATTTAGGTGTGGGTCACCCTTATCATTGAGGGGTATGAAAAATAGATGTTGGCCGATTCTCAAACCTACCCAATATGTACACAAAATTTCATAAAAATCGGTAATGCCGTTTCGGAGGAGTTTTGTAACAAACACCGCGACACGAGAATTTTATATATTAGATATTTATATATGTACTATACAATTTCTTTTGAAGGCACATGTGCTTACTTATTTATTAGTAAATGACGTAGTAAAATATATTTAATGTACCTATTGAATAAATTATTGTGATTACAAATACCACCCACGAATAAAATGACTCTGAAAATGAAAGAGCTTTCACACAAATTACCTACCTCATTATCTACGTCTGACGGATGTCATTGAACTCTTTTTTTTATACAACTTAGAATGGCAAACAGGCTGACGGCCCACCTGATGGAAAGTGGTAACCGTCGCCTATAGACATGAGCAGTACCATGGACATAACAGAGTATACTGTTTCGCCCATATTACCCCCCATGCGTTGCCATTCCTAAGGCCGTGTTAATATGGAAGATTAAAAAATTTTTGTCTGTTTTTAATCCACGTTTCTTTGGTGATAATATTTTGTTTCACCGGTAGAGAACTCTTTTTATAGTATGCTAACAATATTAAGTGCATCCTGTATACAACTTGGGATGAGGTCTAGGGATTAAAGTGTATTTATTGTCCCTAAACAAATTACGTCTTTTTCCTATTTTGTCTTACTCTTAACTTGTTGGATTTACGTTGTTTATTTCCATGTTAAAACCCATGCGAGATTGGTGTAGAGAAATAAGTTGCAAGAGTGCTAAAATAGCTCTCATTTTTCTAGTTAAAAAAAAACTATGCACAAATTGTAATAAACAAATCTGCATGGACACAACAAAACTATTATCTTATTTTTTTTTAATGAACTATAACTTTAAACGTATTGTTATTAAGATAAGATAAACCATTTATTCATAGTTACAGACAAGCAATGGTATAACATTTATTACTGTTAGATTGTCCAAAGTTTAGTACTGATTGTTTATCACGCAATTTGAACGCAGACAAATTTCAATGACATTACGACCTCAAACCCAAATGTCGTTAAGACCCACTAAACTTGAGGCGAGGGGGGGGGGGTTGTTAATAATGCGCACTACCAGACTCATTGTTAGCAATATGCCCAAAAAGGTCAACCTCCACGTGGTCCCCCCTGGAA